TACTTGTAGCTAGTTGGAGTTCCATCGTAGCCTTGGCTTTCCCGGTTTGCTCCCTGCAGAACCGGACCAGTGCAGAATATTCCTCCTTGGAGGTGGATCCCGTCCTCCATCCAGATTGTCCTTATACAACTCATCCTTCTAACACAGAGTTCTATGAACATAGGCAACACTGTATAGACCAATAAATAGTATATAGACAGATATATAGAGAGAGGTTTTGGGTCCCAAAGAAAGCCTTTTGTGAATGAATTTCCCCAATAGTTAATTTACATCTTTGTACAAAAAGCAGCCTAACTGAGGCTGAGTCACTGAGAAAATGAACATTTGAGACTCACAGCGATCAAAAAATGAGGATTAAACTAATACAAGAAAGTTGCATACTTTACAAAGATGATGATGATTAAAACAAAATACTACCTTCACAGTTCTTTGTAGTTGAATTATATCTGAAGCCCTCCACACATACACATTCATATTTTCCAGGCGTGTTCTGGCACTTGGCTGTTCCACAGATGTTTGGCCGTAACATACATTCATCCCTGTCTATAAATACAGAAGCAGTATTGAGAACATGTTCTCTCAAGAAATTCTTTACTACCACCTGCTCCAAGACAAGGAGAAATAAGGCTGAAAATTCTGATATGCCTCGTTAGGTTTGGCATGCTGTCAGGCCAGAGTTAATATTGTAAGTATTGTAATAGTGACTTCCCAAAGGATTTTTCATATTCATACTCTGTAAACTCTTCTCTCTAAGATACCTGATGCTTTTCCTTGGATCTATAGTACAATTTATGCTAGAGGTGCACCAATACATTGATTCAATATAAAGAAAACTGGTTGTATTGGATAATGGCCTGATGGGGCCAATCATTTGGCTGATAAGTACCCGTGCAGCCACAGTACAGCATTCAGGCAGCGAGGAGTACAGCTGGCAGCATGGAGAGTTGTCTCCAGCTGGTAAGTCCAGTGTGGTGGAAAGGGAGGAGGGAGGGAAAGGACATGAGGGGGGACAGATTAATGCCTCCACGGTGAGGAAGGGAGCAGGGGCAGACACTGCCCCAGCCGGGGCCAGGGGGAAGCTGGAGCAGTGGCTCATGGGAGGGGGGAGGTGGCTCCCACCACTGCTTACACCCCAAGAGAGCATGGGTGGGGCGCAGAGGCATGTGCCCCCCGGATCTGTACAGGGTGGGGTGGGCTGCAGCCGGAGCTGTGTGGGGCTCTTCTCAGCAGGGGCTGGGCTCAGAGTGGGTGCTGGTGGCGCTGGCAGGATGCTGCATCCACAACAAATTTCACCACTGCTCCACTTGCAGTGCTGCCACCACCAGCCACCCAGCGCAGCCTTGGCTTAATGCCCCACCTCAACTGATGCGCTGGGAAGAGCCGGGGCTGTACAGGGCGACTGGCAGTGGCAGCACTGCAAGCAGAGCAGTGGCAAAATTTGGGGTGGATGCAGCATCCTCCCGGAGCCACCAGCACCCACTCTGAGCCTAGCTCCCACCAAGAAGAGCCTTGTGCAGCCCTAAATGCAGTCCGCCCTGCCCCACACAGATCCAGGGGGCACACCCCCCACCCCACATCCCGTGCCCTCCTCCGTGCAAGCAGCAACAGAAGCTGCCTCCCCACCCACAAGCCATGGCTCCAGCCCCTCCCCCCCTGCCCCGCCTGGGCAGTGCCTCTCCCTGCCCCTACCCTCCCTCACCGCGAGGGGCATTAATCTTCCCCCCACATTCCCCTTCCCTCCCCCCTCCCCTTCCACCACCGCACCAGACTTAGCAGCTGGAGGCAGTTGTATCAGAAATCGGATCAGTATCAACCTTAAATATATCCTTAAATATCAGCTATTGGCCCCAAAAGTCTCTATCAGTGCACCCCTACTTTATGCAGTCTTCACTTATCCTTTTTCTATTGCTAGTGTCACATAGTCTTCTAGCTTCCAAAGGATAACAAGGTCTCATCTAGAAAGGATTGCCAATCTAGCTCTAATGAATGAAATAATATGTCTGAACAACCTCCCTTCAATAACAAATAAAAACATCACTGGTCTGTATTAGTAAGACCCATATTTCTGTGGTATTCTGTCTGGATATAGTCCCTCATTCAGAACCACAACAAACAGTTAGCCAACCATCTATTCAGCCTCCACAAGAGAAGACTGAGAGGAGATCTGGTGGCCATCTATAAATTCACCAGGGGGGACCAGCGGAAAATAGGTGAGGCTCTGTTCCCCCGAGCACCACCTGGAATAACAAGGAATAGCGACCACAAATTGATTGAGAGCAGGTTCAGGCTTGATATCACGAGGCATTATTTTACAGTTACGGCTGCTAGGCTCTGGAATGGGCTCCCAAGGGAGGTGGTGCTCTCCCCTACCTTGGGGGTCTTCAACAGGAGGTTGGATAGATATCTGGCTGGGGTATTATGATCCCAGCACTGATTCCTGCCCACAGCAGGGGGTCAGACTTGATGATTTTTTCCGGTCCCTTCTGACCCTAGAAACTCTGAAACTATGAAATTATAATGTCCCAACATGAACACTCTCTCAGTTCCCTGGAATTTCCCTGAAAACTGTATAACCACAAAAGATATGCAAAAAGATATGTAGACATGCAAAAAGAGTCCCAGCAAAAGATAGCCTGAAAACTTTGGCTTTTTGAGTTCTATGACAAAGTTATCTGTACCACTAAATACAGTTAAACAGAAAAGTTTTGAATTGTAATGAAAAGCAATTTTAAGAAGAGGCAAAGTCTTTTCTTGCTAAAATAGTAACAAATATTTCTGCAAATTATAAGAATACATATATTGTACCCAAAATTTTGTCCCAAACTAGGGAATTAAGAATATAGTCAATGGAAAAGACATTTGAGCTACACCTCTCCAAGTATTGATTGTGTTTCAAGGCAAAATAAGCCTCTTTCTTTAGAAACTGCTAGGGCTGTGCAAAATTTCGGCAGCCATTTCAGTGCCCAAAACACTGAATCCAAATTGAAATGGAAGGTGCCGAAAAAGCTCTGAAATGAATCAGAAGGCTCTAAACATTTCAGAAATGTTTCAGAGAATTTTGGAGTTTCGGAGCTGGGTTTGCAGGGAAACAAAAACTAAGCAGGAGGGGAAAAAGGTGGGGAAGGGCTGCTCTGACATTGACATCTAGCTCCCAGTTTGATTCCCAAGCTTTTTGATCACTTCCCCCAGCTCTTTCTGGGGAGATGCAGGCACCTGACCTGTGCACAGGGTTTCAGCAGGTTGCTGCTGCAGGCTAGAGCCAACAGCAGCCACTTGGCACAGCCCGCAGTTGTGTACCAGGAAGACTGCAGTACTGCTACTGGCCCCAGCCTGCAACGGTGACCTGCTGAAACCCAGCACACAGATCAGGGGGCCCGCACCCCTGGGAAGAACCGGGGGAATAATCAGACAGCTGGGGAATCAAACCAGGGGGTGGGGAAGCAAACTGGGGGCTGGGGGTCCCTGCAGCCCCAGATCTCTGTTTCCTGAAGAGCCAAGTCACCCTGCCACGTGACCTGGCTCTGCAGGGACCAGCAATCTGCACCAGGGTCTCCTTGCTGTTGCTGCCCACCCCCACACAACCCCACATTGCTGGGGCAGCACAGGGTGGGCAGAGGCAGCAAGGAGACCCCCAGCATGGATCTCTGCTCCCTGTGGAGCTGAGTCGTGCAGCAGGGACCAGCAGGTTTGCTAGCTGCTCTGCGCTGCTTCCCTGCCCCGCGACCCAGTGTAACAGGGATCAGAGATCTGGTGGGGGTCTACTCTCCTGCACAGGGCAGCAGCCCTCCCCCAGATGAGCCACCCACATCCCTATCCTGCACCCTGATGGGACCCTGCCATCCCCATCCCCAAGCCCCACCTGGATAGGTAGGGCTGTGAGAAGCTTCCCTTGCAGCCCATTTGAAACAGATTCAGAGGAGATTCAGCAAAGCCAAATCTACAAAACAGATTCAGCCGAAACAAAACAGGACAGTGATCCAAAACACCAAAACAAATCACTGTCCTCCAAAACAGCCAAATCTGAAACAAAATCAAAACACAGACATTTTGCACAGCCCTAGAAACTGCATATAATTAATTCATTACTATTTTCCCTCCTAATTAAGAAGAATGTTAGCTGACCCCGGTAGTCTAGACACTTGGCCCAGGCTTGCTACGAGAACTGCACACTGGACTCATTCTAGTGTGTATTACTCAACCGCTGGGTTTTGTGAACTAGCTAACTCTTCTAGTTTAGCTAGAAAAACTTAGCCGGACCTATCAATGGGAATCAACTGTTACTAAAATGCTGAATGTGGTTCAAAATGGAAGAGATAAATGGAAAGGGACACCAGAAAATTTAGGCAGGACTACATAGCTAATCTACAGTTTGCAGGCTATTTATCATTCGTGTGCTGATATTTGCAAGTGTTTCCTTTTACCTCTGCAGTCCTTCTTATTTGGAAGCATGTAATAACCATCTTCACAGAAACAGCGGTAGCTTCCATGCAAATTAATACATGTTTGGCTACACCCTCCGTTTATATTTTCTCGATCTTGACATTCATCTATATCTAGAAGGAATATAAAAAACAAAACACTAAAGCTTAATCTAGGAGAGGTTATTTGCTGGCTTACGTATTTAGTAACATAGTGCTGGTAAACAATGCTTCACTTTAGTTATTAGAACAACAGTTCTCACAACTGTCAGAGTAGGGAGCATACCTTCTTCACATCTCTCTCCTTGCCATCCTGGTTTACAAACACAGGTGTATGCAGCTTTCCCATCTATGCATTTTGTGTATCCATGTTCATTGCATGGCAGAGGGGTACATTGATTTGAAATTTCTGTGGTATGATTGAAAAAAAATAAAACAGCTTATTTTTTTAAGGTGCTTTCCCTAATCTTGCTTCTTTCTCAACAGAACTACTGAAGACAGAAAAAGTTTGATACAAACATCCATATATCAATGTCCTTGGGCAAGTCACCTCAACAGTAACAAGACTCTCCCTCCTCCTGCAACTAATCCAAAACAGTATTATTTGTTATGTATCTGTAACATTTTGCCTCCATCAAAGCAAAACTATTGTGAGACAAATGGTTCAAGAAACTGTTACACAAAACTTCTTGCTACTTGGCGTATCTACATTTGTAATAATGGCAGGATAGAACTAAGTGATAGCTTTTGAGTGTTGTTTTTAAGTCACAAAAAATGGTTTCAGTTCAGTTCTTATTGGACCACTCTCTAAATCACTGATTACCACCCCAAATATATCAGCATGAGTCTTGGCAGAAAGGTTAAAGGTCAAAGGGCACAAAGACCAATTTTTCTTGTCATGCTAGATATGGCACATTTATAGGGAGACTTGCATCCCTATTGCCTGTGCCATGGATAGAAGAAGCACTTGATTTTATGTTGCTGTGCTGGAATGCAAAGAGAGGCTTCATTTCCTCCACTCATTCTTAATGTTTTATTTTTGCTTGTGAAAGCTGCCTTTGGGAGAGTACTGGGATATAAAGTGCCATGTTTTTCCAAAGGTGAAAAAATCTGCTGTGTATTTTTCAGCCTTTTGCATGTACACATGCTCTGATGACCTAGGTGAATTCTCCTTGGCTTGTTCTCCTGGTAGAAAAACTTTCCTAGAGATGCCTGAACAGACATCTTCAGGCCCTTGAATGCTGAGCCCCTGAAGAGCAGAGTTTGCAGTGCTAATTTTGTGCAGCAAGGGGACCCTTGTGCACACATCTCAGAGTGCTCTACGAACTCCCTCAGTCTGTCTGGAGACAGACTGCAGCACTGCTTGGGCAGCCCTGATTTGCTGCCCCAGACTGCTCAGAGTTAGCCTGTCTCCCTGCAGCACAGTGCAGGATTGTAAGGAGGTCATTTTCTGCTCTCTACTTGGCTGGTGTAGTAGAATCCAACCAGAGCAACACACTGTTTGTGGGGAAGGGAGAAGCAAAGCACCCTGGGATGCTGGAGAACTCTGCTGCACCTCCTCTTGGAAGGGTAAGTTGTACAGACATTCGCTCTCCTAGGAGAAACTGTCCTGGGAGTAATTTAAGACTGGTTCTACCCAGATTATGGATAGGTTGTGGATAAATAAAGAAAGGTTCACTGCTAGTGCTCCCCAATCACTACCAACTGCTCCCTAATAACTGCTCATGACAGCAGCCCAGACAGCAATTAGAAAGATCTTGCCAGGCTGCAGGGGAAGGAGAAGAACTATTGAGTTTGATACAGTATCTTCATCCCCAGCACAGATCATCATGGATCACAACAAATCTTTCAAACCATGTATTTCCTTATCACCTGATCCAGCAGATGCTCTCAGAAATAAGGGAAATGCCCTGGCTAAAGTGAGGGCTATGCTGATTTCAAGTAGGTTCACCAAGGGATGGAAACCAAAGTCCTGAGGTAAGCAGGGAAGTAGGTGACCTGGAGTAAGCACAAACAGGAGCAACAGGGGAGGCCTTTTCATTCTTCCTGAAAAAGCAGGGCAACCAGCTAGTTATCTCAGGGGTTTGTACCAGAATGCACAGAGCCTGGGAAAGAAGCAGGAAGAATTGGAAGTCCTTGTACAATCATGGAACTATGACATGACTGGAATAACAGAGACTTGGTGGAATAGCTCATCTGACTGGAGCACTCTCATGGATTAGTATAAACTGTTCAGGAAAGACAGGCAGGAGAGAAGAGGAGGAAGAGTTGTGCTTTACGTAAAAGAGGCATATGATTTCTCAAAGCTCCACTATAAAACTAGAGATAGGCCTGCTGAAACTCTCCGGGTTATGATCAGAAGGGAGAGCAACAAAGGTGATGATGTGGTGGGTGCTCTAGACCACCAGATCAGGAAGATGAGGTGGATGAGGCTTTCTTCAAACAGCTATTGGAAGTTTTCCCAATCACAGGCCCTGGTTCTCATGAGGGACTTCAATCACCCTGACATCTGCTAGGAGGACAATATAGCAGTCCACAGGCAAACCAGGAAGATTTTGGAGAGTGTCGAGGACAACTTCCTGGTGCAGGTGTTGGAAGAGGCCAACTAGGAGCTATGTTTGTCTGGGCTTGCTGCTCCCTGCCACTTTTGCTCCAATTTTCAGTTAAAATTCATTACCATTGTCTATTGACCAGTTTTTGGTTGCAGGGAGTAGGGGAGCAGAATAATCAAATTGCAACCTCACTCAACAACAGAAGCCTAACTGAATTTTAGACACTCAACTCCTGTATAAGTCTGGCCTTTAAAGAACTATTGAAAATGTTACCCCTTCTCCTTTATTTTTATTTTTCCCCCCATGGTCATTCAGCAGTAACAACTTCATTTTCAGTTTGGGTTACTTTGGGAGGTGGATCAACTTACTACTGTTAATCTTCTCTAGAAGTCAGTAATATAACATATTCATGCAGGTCTGCAATGTCCTTCCTGCTACCCATCCTGGAACCCTCAGTGACGGTAAAAAAGAGAGTCCATTTTAATTTGTGACTGCAGGCAGGTTGGCACCATGATCTGGAAAATGTGTTCATCTGTGTAGTGAAATTATTTAGGATTCTGTTTTACCTTTGTTTGCATTCAAGGACAATAAAAAGGACAGACGTTTAGGGACAAATACATATATTTACAGGCTGAAAGAACTTTCAACATGCCACAGCAATGAAAGTTTAAGTTAACTATGGAGGGTAACATGCTTAAAGAAGGCATATGACACAGACTGCTTCCTATTAATTTGTTAGAAAGGATGCATTTTCATGTTGAATTAATTGATCAAACATACTGAATGAATAACTACATGGTTATGCAACATTAGGTAGATGTAAGTTTGCTACAAAGTATAAAATCCCTGAGGCCAATGACCTCATCTTCTAGCAAATATTTGAATTCTTCATCCTTAAAAAATTGCTTCACTGTGAGCCAGACTGACCATGGCACTTATAAAACTGTGTAAAAGAAAGGGGCATAATCCCTTTATTTGACTGAACAGAACCTTTTCAGACCGTGACTCTGGGCACAGGATGTCATGAGCAGCTTGGGCATGAATTGAGTGAGCTAATATAAGTGAAGGAATGGGCTGCAATGGGCAGATGCCTCTATAGTTCTGAAGGAATTTCATGCCCCATTTCCTTTCCAGCACTGCTCCTAGAATTGAACTTCTTAGTCAGTGTTAACAATAAAGCTCTTAATTTACCAGTAAAATATAATGTTGTAATTTGCTTTCTAATTGCATTAGATGAGTCAAAACACTATCTTTTTTCTTGCTAGGTGAACTTTTATAGAGGTGACATGTAAGCTTAAACTTGATTCAGTACCCCAGAGTGGTGCACAGTGGGCATGTCTATATGCTGCAGTTACACTGGCTAAAATTTACTTACTGCGCAGTAAATTACTGTGCAGTAAGCAGGAATAGGCCAGCATCTACACATACAGGCGTTAAAGCACATTAAAGCTGATGCAGGTATCAAATTTATGCTCATGTCAGTGTAAGTTGCCATATTTACTGCATAGTACAGGCGTTCGTGTAAGTTGCCATATTTACTGCATAGTACAGGTGTTCATGTGTAGACACATTCCTGTACTGCACAGTAATTTCAGTTACTGCGCAGTAAATGCGCACATGTAGATACACCCAGTCTTGGTGCTGGGTGAGAAACATATAACAACAGTACTTACCAGTGATACAAGTCCTCAGGTCACTTGAAGAATCTGGAGACATCACAGAAATGCTTGCGATCCCTAGTCGGGGGTAGGTGAGGCAGCCTGTAAATACAAACCCCACACATAATTTGCTTATGCTCCAAACATCCATTTAGAATGAAATTAGAACAGTTTAACCTTGGCATCTTCAAAGAGTCTGTTCTCCTGGTTGGAACTAGAAAACCTGCTTGGACAAATTAAAGACAACTGATCTCACACTCCACGTTCTGAATAGTTCAGTCAGGACCTAAGGATAGAGAGGTACTAGCAAGTTAATATGCGTCATAATCAAACATGGGAAAAGATTCCTCATACCACTACTACTGTTAAAAAATAATAATACTCAAATGAAAGCTACAGAAAAAAGCTACGAGAACTCTACAAACTTTGGAGAATGGGGGGAGTGGTACTTACGTATATATTTGGGGTAGAAGTATTCCTGCAGGAAAAAAATAAGAGAAATATCAGAAAAAGTTAACATAACCAACAGTAAATATACAGGTAACTTATTTTATTGTAATGTTGTTTGTCATTTCATTGTAAGAGAAACTAAGAGAGAAGTCCATAACTTACCTTTTATTTATATAAAAATAGACTAGAAATTTTCAAGAAAACTTATTTATAAGTTAAAACACAGGATTTTTATTAAACAAGATTCCAAGTTACTAAAGGATGGGAGGCAGAGGAAAATCAGGCCAGTACTTCCTCTCTAATTCTGTTCTTCACAGGAAAAAAATTAAGCTTTGGCAATGTCCTTGCAGGGAAATCCTTTTAAAGCCCTTCAGGTTGAACAGGTTGCCTAGATTTTGAAAATTTTTCCCTTGAATAGTACGCAACAAATGAGAAAGGTATTGGAAATCTGGCTTTGAACATGTATATATTTCCATGTCAAATGACATGGAAATATGTTATCAGTCACTTATTTAAAAAATATTGATTCCCTTAAGTTGGGGTGGGCAATTATTTGGGCCCAGGGGCCACACAGGGAGTTCTGATGAGTTGTCGTGAGCCAGGTCAGCACCTCTTCCCCTGACAGCCACCACAGCAACTCACCAACATTCTATGTGAAGTGAAGCTGCAGGCAAGTGAGGAGCAGTGTTCAGGAGCAAGATGGGTGGGCAGGGCTGGGATCACAGGGTGGGGTTGTGGGGCAGCTCCTGCCCTGTGGGTGGAATATGCAGGTGTGGAAAGGGGGTTGTGTGTGTACGGGGGGAGGAGGCTTGCCTGGGTGCTAGGTTCCAGGAGCCAGCCAGAGGTGAGGGAAGGGAGGAGGAACCAAGGGACGCATGGAGCAGAGCTCACCCAGGCGTTGTGGTCCACAGCTGTCCCTGCAGCTCTCTGTGTGGGGCCAAGCCCTGCCTGGGGCAGTCCAGGCTGCACTCCAGCCCGTGCCCACCAGCCTGGCTCCAGCACACACAGCTTGGCACATGCAGCTTACCAGCAGGGCTGCTCCCAGTGCAGCTCCAGCAGCTAGGTACTGCTCTGCTCCCCTTTACTCCAGCAGTGGCTCCTCCTCCTGCTCCTGCTCCTTGTGCACTGTTCTGGGCGGGGAAGAGGCTTCAGCTGGGTGGCTCCTGCCCCAGCACATGGGGTTCCAGCTCCAGCTTCCAGCTGCCTTTCACCCACTCGCTGGGCAAACAGAATGGGTGTAAGACAGCTGGGATCTGCCACTGGAGGCAAGGGGTGTGGAACAGCACCTGGGCAGCTGCAGACGCACCAGAAGCAGCCCCGCTGGTACGCTGTGTACACTGGTCAGGGCAGGGACAGCAGGCACCGTCTGCCAGGGTGGGGCTCAGCCCCAGGCGAAGCACCACAGGGGCAGCCATGGACCAGATCCAATGAATTGGCAGTCCAGATCCAGCCCGCGGGCTGCATTTTGCCCACCCACGCCTTATGAAGATGTGTCTAATTTCAATGTGTACATCCTTAATAATCAATATGGCCAAATATGCTGCACTATATGAAAAACACTGTGTGTAAACAATTTACAGGTTATATTGAACCACAAATATGAATGGATTTTCTCTCGTCTACTTTGTAATAAACAACCGATTTAAATTAATTCAAAACATAGATCTAAAGAGCAAGGTGCATGAGTACTCTCATACCTAGAAGAAAGCCCCTCAGCAAGGGTGCCTAGTATCTTTATCAAGAGGGCTGTGTTGCAGTGTGCTGTCTGTATAAAAATTCTCAGTGAAGCCAATGGGTGTTCCACACGAATGCTTGCAAAACGGTGGCCTAAAACTCATGCTTTTTTTTTAAATCCAAAGGACATGCACTCAGCCATCCTACGTGCTTGTAGTCTGTCTTCCCCAATAACATGCATTGTGCCTACACATTGTGCTGCCTGGCTGTACGTGAGAGAATTTCGCCCTTGGCTCTCTGTCTGTATCGTATTTTTAGCCCTATTGTATAAAAACCTTGTGCAATTCCAGGGATTTCTTTCCCTCTGCAAAAGATTTGTTCTCCATCATGCAGATACTCATGAAATTCTTACCGTTTCAGGATCATTTTCAAAGATTTCGCGGGCTTCTTCTTTATTGCATAGTTCTTCAACACATTCTCTTTCTAAATTTCCCTTCTTACTTTCTTCCATAAAAGAATTTGCTCTGCGTTTCCTAACCAGGTATTCTGAGGCATGCTGCTGAGACAAAACTTGATAAAAACAAATATTTCTTTCTTTTTATGGTGTAACAGCCAAACACTTTTATAATGTGAAGATTAACTTCAAGTGAGCATCTAAACCAAAAGCCAGAATTGAACTGTGGCTGTGATGTGGGCATGTACAAATATGCAGGCAGTGTTGGAGAAAAGAAAGATGCTTCAAAATTGTTTTGTCTGTGTGGTGCCTGGGTTGGTTTCCCACAACCAAAAAAATTCTTATTGACATATGAGTAATTATGTGCTTACAAAGCTGTGCCAGAAGCATAATTTGTATGTAATCTATAAGGAAAATAGACTGATAAACTGAAACCTCAGAGTAAGTGGGAATGATTTGTTTTAATTATACAGTAGTAAGCGTTTTCTGTGTACCTCTTTTATGTGAGGCCAAGAAGGGTTTTTTATTTTATTTTTTATAAGGCTAGATGCCAGCAAAAACTTTTAACCAAAGTAAAAGTTCCTTTATATTTTGGAACAACTTGGTATACATGGCAAAATCTCACACCTACAGTGTGGCTTGGAAATGCTTGGGTTAGTATTGCAGGAAGAAGCATATGGCCCTATATAAATGTAGAACACATATACACCATAGACATTGTGGAGTTGCAGTGCTGTGTGTATTGCTGTTTACTTTTTGCACATATGTGTTGCTATCCCTACTGATTGTTAGGCATATTGTACTATTAGGACCCAACCTAATGTTGGAAGATTCCTGTATACTTTAATGAGCTTGGACAGACCACATCTAAATTTGACTGGGATTTTGTTGACTGTTTTTGGTTTCAGTTTTGCTGCTGCTACTGTTTTGGTTTGGCTGGTTGGTTTGTTTTTTGTTTTGGCTACTTCTAGTCAACAAGGAAGTAATGGATTAGCATAGCTGGAAAAAGTCCAAGGCATAAGGTTGGGGGACAAAGCCTGATCCATGTTAGCTACTGGGCACCAAAATGTAATGTAATAGAAAGGCACCTGCCTTACATTAATAAGCATTTGCACGATTTAACCTATCAGATTAACATGGCTTTGCGAGGGTCATGACATTTGCAGACAAGCTGCTTATGAATACTCATCACTAACCTAGGATGCTATGCTGTGATCATCAGTTCCAGCAGACATGCTTTATGCTCACAAGCAGCATTGTATTGATTAGCTGAAATCTTGATCCACTGGGGTACAAAGACCAGCAATAACATGCTAGAGTAGACAGTCCAATAGGTCCATGTGTTGATAAATAGATTAACGGAAGGAAGTGATACAGCTCATTAGGGAGAGTGGCTGTAGTGGTCTGTTCTCCTGCATACCTTCCCACTGGAACATCATTTGTTAGGGGTGCACCAATATACATTTTGGGGCCAATACCAATGGCCAATTATTAATGAGCCATATCTGCCAATACCAATCCAATTGCCAATATGCAACCCGGCAGCTTAGAGAGCAGCATCCAGCTGGTAAGTCTGTGGGGAGGAAAGGGCAGGGGGGAGGAAAGGGCATAGGGGGTGCAGAGCGAGGTTCCCATGGTGAGGGAGGGAGTGGGGCTGAAGCTGGTGCAGGTGCTGGTACAGCCAGGGTGGGGCAGGGCACAGGACAGAGCCACAGTCCATCCAGAGGGCTCAGGGGGAGAGGTTTCTGCCACTGCACACACTCTGGGGGAGGCCTGGATGGTATGTGCCCCCTAGATCTGTGGACTGATTAGGGTGGGCTGCTGCTGTGCACTCAGGGCCTCTTCCTGGAAGGGGGCTGGGCCTGGGCTATACTCAGGGGAGGCAGGGGCAGGGCAGGGCAGGGCAGGCAGCAGCGGCACTGGGAAG